AGCCTCTCTATGTAACCACTTTATCAATGGGTTATTGCACACTTAGTCTCTTTCAGATCGGCCATCGAGTTATGCCAAAGTTCTTCCTTTTTCTTCTGCGTTTAGTTGCTTCAATTTTTTTACACGCAGGTATGCAAAAAGGAATTAAAGCCATTGATATTTTATCGATGGAGAGAGGAGAGCTAAGCTGCATGGCGAAACCGGCCTCCGTTTTATTAATCTTCATTCTCGTAATAGATGGTCGCAGCTTGTGCTTTCAGAAAAAAAAGAAACGAAGAAGGCAACTATCGATCCAATGCAATAATAAAAATAAGTCAAGAAGATAAACGAGTGAAGAAAAATAAAAGTCGCGCGGCAAATCAATTCAATTAATGACTTATGTAAGCCACTCGAAATTAATTGATTCTCGAACTCGAAGTTTATTGGGTACTTTCGAAGATCACTGTGAAATCGGTTCGAACGCAATAAAGCGTAACAGCGTTGATTTTTTTTTGTTACAGACAATGCAATACACAGACCGTTGCGTAACATAACTTTGTCTTCGGAGCTGAAGTTGCGTCAAAGTTTTTAAAGCAAACAATTACACTAATTACCAGACTATCGCATGTCCTTAAAGTCAATAATCGAAATTACGTTTTCCTGAAAAGCCGTTGCGCAAACTGCGATTATTATATTATTATTAATACGTTGCAAAATTAATGAGCATCGCTCAAAATAATTGAGCGGCCTCTAAGTTAATGTCAATTCAAAAGGAGAGAGAATAAAAAAAATAGGAAGATGTGTTATTGCACATCTGAAATGTTAATTAATGCGAAAGAGATTCGTTTTTATTGGCTGCATTATTTTTTTTATATACGCTTTTGATGGTCGTAAAAATGTCTTCGCTATTGGCGATGATTTCGTTACATGTTTTGCGGTACTTTTATGTGCAGAGCGAATAAAGTTTTATTTGAAACGCATGAAACTTAATTGATGTGCTTTCGAGTTTGATGCTGCTTATTTTTGTTTATTATTTTGTTATTCTTTAAGAGAGAGAGAAATGTGTAGACAAATGGAATAATTTAAATATTATTGACAGAAATATCCATGACGATATTATATTTTTTTTCACTCCTCGTTATTAAGGTCACAAGATTGTTTTTGTTCTGCGAATGTTTCATCCCATGTTTTTTTATAATTTTGTTTTGGTAAATGTCTACTTTATATACATAATTTAAGTTTAAAAACATTTTTTTTTTCCTTATAAGAATTAATTTCCATAGTTTTTTTTAGTAAAAACAAATTAAATTTATTGTATTCTAATACATACACAAACAACCCTTAATAATTTCTGTAAGAAAATATTATGAAACTGTATTGACTTAAGAAAAAAATAATTAATTTCTAAAAAAAAACTATTTGAATCTTGACATTCAAAAATAAAGAGCAACTAGAAAGTATAAATATATCCAGTTTAATCAACGAGAAGATACATGATGACCTCCAAATGGAAACAGTGGATGAATCTAACCAAATAAGCATTAGCAACTAAAAACTAGATTTAAACTTACATTCAACTTTAACTATAAATTTACTTGATAATACTTTAAAAAAAACATCGATTGAAACGTTCTCAAGATTGAATTAACACCTGCGCTATACATTATGTAACTAAAGGAAATTTCCACCCGGTTTTTCCTAGAATTGCTAAACGTTTCTTGAATATTTATTATAAATATATATATTTATGAAAAATAATCAGTTACGCATCATTGAAAATTATACAGTAATTGTATTCTTTTGCGTTACGAAATTAATGTAATTTATGCTATTACGTTTAAAGCGTAATATACAAGTATAAAAATTATATATATTTTTAGTGCTTTCTGCAGCTATATTTCATGTAAAATCAACGTGTAATTTATATGGCCATTAAAAATAAATGTTTACAGTAAACTTTGCGCTCACCAAACTCGAAGTTTGTTCGTGCAGGTAATTATGCAGAACAGAAGATACAATTTTCTCAACCAAAATGAAAAGCAACTAACTGTATTTACTTGCAAAAAAAAAACGCAATTATGAAGAGTAAATAGAATTTTATTTTTCATATTACTTTTAAGTGAATTCAATTGCAAACACTTTCCATTATGTGTGGTTATTCAAAGAAGTGTAATTTGTATACGTTCATATAAGAAATCACGTAATAAACGGATATAATAGTAACGTAAATGTTTGTTTTGTCTTATAAGAAATATAAATTGCAATTGAAAACTTCATCTCAGCAGTGGAACTTCAAATCTTTGTTTGAGCTCCTAAGAAAAGAGATACTTTGATAGCATTTTTTGTTTATGATTTCAAATAGAGAAAATTATAGTTACTAAAATTGATGACAGGGGTGTCTTGGAAAGTCGTGGGCCTTAGATAACAGTTAGTTTTACTATTTGAGGGCCCACTATAGATCCACTCTCACTGCTTCGTCTTAAACTATTACATAATTGACTAATAATGGTAATTAGAATAGATTAATAACTTATTTTTTTGAGATGACAAAAATTATAATTGTTTAATAAATGTTGATATGAATATAATACTAATAGAAGATTATTTCGTAAAAAAACGTTATAAAAAAGTACGGTTAAACAACTTGTATTGCTTTATTTAAATACTTTTCTACATAAACTAAGATTTAAGATCGAGGAGAAAGATATTCGAGCAAGTAAAATACCTTGGGATTTAACTATTGTCAACGAAGTTTTTCCCACACGAAAGATATGCATGGAACGATACCAAAAAAAAGAGAACGAATACATACTTTCATTCGATAGCGTATGGAAGACACAATAGCACATAACAATATGTAGATTTTTTTTATTTGTTTTTGGTGCAAATTCGCAGTTTCGAAAACAACACTTGGTGTGCGCAATATATATACACTAGAAAACGATTAATTTGAATAATTGTTGTTTTTTGTTAGTATGAAAATAATAATTAAATAATTTTATATACAACGAAATTAATGTAGATATAAAATATTAATGAACTAAAATGTGAAAATTGAAATTGACAAATATTTACGAAAAATGTACTTATAAATTATGTTGAAAAAAAAAGATCGTAGATTTGAAATTCGATAAAATTTAACATTAAATAATAGTTTTTAAGTTATCGATAAATTTATTATAATTTATATATAGAGAAACTTATCGATTTTAGTTCAATTACTCAATATAAATTATTAATTTTTTAAATTTGAAAATAAATAAAGTAAAAGCATGCAAGATAATTATTATTTGATAATGATCGATAATTTTTTTTAAATAATATTTGTTTATTAATTTATTGTGATTTTTATACGAAAGCTGTCGGATTTAGTTAACATAATCACGTAGAGATAAAATATTGATAATTTAAGTAGAAATTTGATAAATAATTCTTAATGTACGTAGATAAATATATTTCAAAATTGAATCAAAACAATTCTTATTTGTCAAGTTTGCAGATTTGTAATTTACATCTCGATAACATTGTGTATTTACGTTTGTTATAAAATAGTACGAAGAACGTTGATTCAATCTGCATGCATACAGATATGCCAAGTATTCGAGCGCAGTGGGTCTGATTTATTAAATATGATGTATAGTACCATTAATAAGAGTGACTCATATGAAGGTTAGTGCACTGATCTATTATTAAAATCACCGCTTATGTTCACAGTGCGCAGCATACATTCAACATATTGAAGAGAAGAGGTAAAAGAAAAACAAAAATAAATATGAGAGCGCGCATTAAAGCTTAATTAAACTAATAAATAACCATGAATTATGATTTGCATTGTTTATCACGGAAAGTATCCCATATAAATAATACGCGCTGTGTGTTACGTAACGTAACGAACGTCGCTCTTCCCGGATTTTCTCCGGCTTTAATGAGCAACAAACAACAATTAATTTCATTTTTATCAGCGTTTTACAGTTGTCGCGAAAGGTTACCGGTCGTCGTTTGCGATTAATTGCGATTATGTAATTGGACGTTTACGCAATGGCGATTCGCGAATAAATCAGCGGTCACGTAATAAAAGGGGGAAGAAAAAGTTGGTAAACTTTCTACCTTGTTTAAGCGAGATCAACTTCAATTCAACTGAGAAAACGAATTTCAGAAAGAAAGAAAAAAAAAAACGGTGTACGGTAGAAATCTCGAATTAACAATGCGTTACTTAATGCACTTGCAAAACAATCGGGATTTTCAAAGTGAGCAAAAACAATACTTACTTAGAATTGCAGAAGATTTAAAAAGTGGGTTTTCTCCGGCACAGTTACGTCAGGTATTTTCACTACTTTATATATATATATATAATTCTGCTTCTGTCGTTTGTTCCTCTTGTATCTGTTTCTCTTTTATTTTATTTTTTTTAGTAATTTTCCGTCTTTTTGTTACTTTTCCGTTTCGTTTTGTTTGCTTCTCGCTGTATTTTGTTCCTCCGCAGTCGACGATGACAGGATGTTAAGTAAAGACAGGTAGAAGAAATGCGCACACGCTCTTTTATAGAACCTTACTTAAGTCAGGTTCGTGTTGGACTGACTCACCTGGTATGAATATGCTTTGTTTTGTTCCATGTCTGTTCCCTCTATCTCACTTTCTGGGTATAAAGGATCAGGTAAGCGGCGTTGCCTTTCCATAATTACATTAGAATTATATGTAGCCTCGCTAATGGGTAAGAGAAAGATGGATATTAAATTTTCTAATAGACTACGGTGTGAATGATTAGTATAATTGATTCAATTATCCGGCAACCAATTTTTAATTGATGCCACCTTCTTTTTAATTACAACTTACTTTTAACAATAAATTTTATATATATTCAATATTTTTATTATTATTCAAACTGCTCATTAATTATTAAACTAAATTTAGCTATTTTTCAAAAAAAATATCCCATATATTTTTTTTCCATTATAATGAAAATATAAAAACTATAATTTATTACTTACTAATTTTTAATTTTTATTATTTCTCAAATTTACATTTTTTTTAGGTTAAAGTAATGAAAATGAAGTTTTAAGTTAATTAAAACAGTATATACACACGTATAAAAAACATATTATTATCATTACGTAATTTTAACATAATACGTAATATTTTTTCTATTACAACTGCACCTTTACTGGAGCGAATTGCGAAAAAAAATTAAATAGTTATGTAATTTATAACATATTTTATCTAAATACGGAATACCGTAATAATTATTACTAAAATCCGCTTAGATTACTGTATAATTAATTACATATAATTATTGAAATAATTCAACGCGAGCAATAAATAAATCGTTTGACTTATGTAAGCTTTGTATAAGGATTTTTTACATAAAATCCTAAATAAAGTATAAACATTATTTATCTAAATCAAAGTCAAGAAAGGTATTCACGTTATGTAATTGAGTTTAGTTTTTTCGTATATATTTTTTTATATATTAAATAAGGTATTTCTATAAAAATATAATGCATTTTAGAAAAAGTAATAATCCTAGAAATCGGTTTATCCAATATCTTGCAGTGTTTGAAACAGGACTAATCGAGGACTTTAAAACCGTACAATGGGAGGATTTCATGCAGAAAAAAAATGTATTTGTTGTAAAAGTAAATGAATATCTATAGTTGAAAAGCCATATAAAACTATACTTATAAAGTGAATATTAATGTCACATATAATTTCTATCAAATTTATAATTATTATCTGATTTATTGTTAATTTTTTACTAAAACTGAAAAAAAGATACTGTGTTTGATGAATATGCCTTAATTTAGACCAAAAAAACAAATTGACTTAGAAAATCACTTCAACTAGAAACTAACAAAAAGTGTGTTCAATTTCGTAATATTTATAAAGATTTATCATTTAAAGTCCTTTGAATGTAGAAATATGGAAATTGATAAAACTATAAATCTAAGCTTAAAATTAACAGATAGAAAATTTAAAATTACTATGTGGAAATCCAAAGATTCACGTTAAAATTTATAAATTTATTATTGCAATAAATTTACAATTTGAAGTAGTAACATAAGATTGCATAATATTTTTATGTGAATTAAATGCAAAAGCAATTAGATATGACTGAGAGATGTCTACATACATTATTGCTAATCTTCCAGGAAGAACCTCATTGCAGAGGAAATTAGCAACACAATGAAGATTATTAATATTTTATTCATTATATATTCCGTTTTCAATTACAATCGTGTATAATAATCAATGTTAATTGAAGATAACATTTATTGTAAATGCCGTTCTATTCGTAGCGTGTGGTAAATAACAGATAAAATGAAAATTACATCATTATCGAATCGAAAAACGATAATACTGAAATATAATAATTGAATGACTTTAACCCACCGTTAATCGCGCGGCATTTCGTAACATCGTTAATCGCGTGGCGTCTGAGAAACTCTGCTAAGAATATTATGCTGTTAAGCCTTTAACTCATTACTCTAAAATGGCGTGATTTGCTTTTACATAAGTCAATACGAAGAAGGTACATAGGTTGGGGTTGCCCACCTTTCCAGTTTTAAAAGTTTTGGTTGATTTGTACCCACTGGCGTCTAACAGACTCCGCTTGAGTAGAACAAATTGTAAAATAATTTAGTTTAGTCACCAAGAAAAAAAACAGTCTCGGATAGTTAATTTAAATAGAATCTTCCTACTTTATAGACGCTTCTATCTTTTTCTCGTCATTAGTATTCAAATCATTCATATAACATCCTTGTTAATTTACATTTACCTTTATACACGAATCAAATTTTAAACTGTGTTTTTTTAAACCACAAAAGGATTAATAGAAGAACGCATATATTTAAAAGAAAAAACTGGTCAATAACTCATGATTAGAGATGTGCGTTTTGCATATATATTTATATTTTTTGTCCTTCGATTTTTAATTGACATTTCAAACTGAAAGTGTTATTCTCTTCAATAGACTTAATTAAAGTGATGCAGAGACTGGTTATTGTTATTAAATGCATCCACAGTAATTTTATTCAGTCTAAAAATAACTTCACTCATCTGAAAAGAAGAACAGATTGAAGCTCTGGCACAGTGAGCATACAAAATGCATGCATCTCGTTTGGGAATGGTTCGATTAGTTCCGAAACCAATCAATGTTTCAGTCTGATCCCGTCCATAAATTAAATGCGTTTCCGAGCATTAAATCGCAATTAGTTAAATTAACAATGTCAGTCGCGCGAAATGATTCGGTTCCAATTTAAATTAGGTACAAGGTGTTCTGAAGCATATGCTTCATTGCCTTTTGTTAAAATTTTTGTGTTATTTAAATTTTTATTCCGATCTGGGTCAAGTTTAAGCTGCTCTCAAATTGTACACGAAAATGGGACGAATACAATTAGACGTTATTTGTCTATAGGTATTCTTGCAGGAAGAACCTCAAAGATGATTATTCATTAATTGTGCGTTCCTCTTTCAATTGCGATAATGATTAGAAAATTATAAAATACGTAGTTCCTAAAATGGAATCTTGTATCTTTTGTTGGGTTTTTAGTTTATGGAATTGCAGTTATCCAAATAGAAGAAGTATGTGGTACAAACTAATGTGGAGAAGTAAGGCGCGATTTCAGCCTTCGCACGACATGTTATTTTGTAAAAGTTATACGCAGTTTTCTCATTTTGCGGTCATCACAAAGCATAACATTTTATGTAATACACATGTTATTTACCTTCATCTCTAATGATCACCGACAAATGTCAGTCTCTAACTTACAAGAGCATTATCTTATCTTTATTTTACTACAGAACGGTAAAAAAACTTATGTAACCGTTAGTTTAGTGATACATCTAAATTTTCTTCATTTTTTTTATAGGATTATGCAATAGAATCTTAGTGATAGATTTAATTTAGTACCATAAGGTTTTATATAAACTTTTGTGTTTTTAGTTGGAATTAACTTCATTCAACGTATAATAGCTAAAACGCACTTAAAATCCTTTATGTTCAAAAGTGTGCGTTCAGCATTTCCGAAATTAATTTTCCTAAATATTCTGCACTTTTATGTTTATTATGCAACGGCGTTTGTCGGCGTTTTGTTGAAAATAACGTCCTTCAATGTATAATAGCTAAAACGCACTTAAAACACTTTGCGATGAAAACTGTGCATCAGCATTTCCCAAATTGGTTTTTAAAGAGATACGTTGACATTTTTCATAAATTTTCATAAAATGACCTACAATTTTTTTTATTATAACATTAGTATTCTGTTCTATAATTTAAAAGAGTTGAAACGTTTAAGTCAAAAAGGTAGACATAATTGGCAATTATGTATATAACACAGTGTTATTGTTGTTGTTTTAAATTCGGATTCACACAACGTTCAAGATCAAGAATTGAACGTGGCCGTAGAATTTACAATTAGAGGATAGAGCAATAACACGTAAACAGGAGGAAGAAGAAAAAAATAAATAATAAGTTAAAAATAAGTATACTTTCATTGCGTTCATGCGTCGGGCTTTTCAACTTACAATTCACGTTTAATTATTCCACTAATTGGTTTATGTAAGCGGGGGCACTTTGCAATTATCGCGTTGACAATAAATCCGTTGCATAAGCGAGAACGTATTTGACGCTGATGGAATTTTCGCTTCTTGATCTTTTCTTTTTATATTACTCTGAGCGTTCGTTATGAAAAGTAATGTTAGGTAATGGGATTCGTGAACATTAGTTTGCATTAGCTCGACGCGAAGAGGAAGCGGGAAGAACAATATTTGCTATGATGTAGAATACTTACCTTTGCTTTGCGGACATTAAATTTTCCATTTAGTTTCTAAATTTAGATATCTGCATCTGGAAGAATGGATAATATTATTGTTAACGGGATTTAAGCATGTGTTTATCATTAAAATTTTATACAAACAAATCGAATCATTAGATTTTTCTTATTGGAATGTTAAATAATTCATAATATTTACTATAATTATTATCATACATTATTGAAGTAGACTAAATTATTACTCTGACATCGATTATTGGATTAGTATAAATTATTACGGTAATAACTTATTACTGACGTAAGTTCCCACAAAACATATAACTGTAATTTGATAATAACAGATTATAATCATATCTAAAATTGTACATATTATAAGTACATAAATATAATTACAACTGAACCTCACATAGTGCGGCTCCAAATGTTTTTAGTGACTCAATTAGTCCGGTTTCAAACATTGCGGCGAAAGGGATTATCCGTACTAAGCGAGGTATTGCTGTATATATTTATTAGTTTTACATGAATTACGAAACCATTACTATTTTCAAAGTAGAAAACGTTTTTATATCTAAATATCATCAGATAAATTCGTTAATGTTTTTTATTAATCCGTAAGAAATCTGTTAATCTCTTTTTAAGCCTCGATAGTTGTCATCAGATTAAGTGTGTGATAATTTTCAAATCATTAATTTATTCGAAGTGCTTTCTTGAAGTTATCACGTGTTTACACTATATTGAAAACATTTTCAAACATAAATGTTATCAATCTCCAAATTGAACTTTTAATAAAATAATTAATCTTTAATTAATCCTTAGAATTTGTATATAATATTATCACTCTAAAAACTACTTAATAATAGTGACAAATTCGATAATAGAACGATAA